TCTTTATAAAAACCGCCCTGTTGAATTCACCTTACTACAGGTTACTACTCTCCAGTATCGAAAAAGGCTTTTCTTTTTGTCAGAAAATTTGGTCTAAGTGATCATAGGAAAGAGTTTATATTATTGATTAAAATAAATTTCTAAACTATTAAATGTTTTTAATAATATAATTAATTCAAAAATTATTCCTATCTATTCTATTTGATTTAGTTATATTATATTTTAATTTAGTACAGATTAATGCAATTAAATTTAATTTATATATAATTTTCTTGATTTATATTATAATCTATTTAGTAATTTTTTAACTTAAATTTCTAAAATATTAACTATTTTTTATATAATATACACTTAGTAGTTTTACTTATTGTTATTATTTTTTTTAAGCATGTTCGAATTAATGTGATTTAATTTACTACCCGTAAATTTGATATAAATTTTCGCTTTCTATTTCGCTATATTGCGAAATATCTTACGTAATATTTCGTAATATCTTACGTAATATTTCGTAAGTTAATATTTCGCAAGGTTTTGAAATATCTTACGTTATATTATGCCTTTTTTATGGTTTGTAATTTATTATGTAATATTACGCTCTTTTAAATTTGCTGATGGAAGTGAAGGATGAAATAATTCAAAAAGCAAATAGTAATATACTTAGATAGTCTTGACAAATCAGTAATATAAATAATGCTAAAAAAGTAGTTTTTATTAAATATTGTGGCCAGAATAAAGCAATTAATATATTGTTAAATGTAGTTCTAGAAAGTGAAAAGATAGTAAAATATTTGTTGAAAGTATTAAGTAATGAAGACTCTGATAAATTTAATTGTAGTATGAATTTGTTCAAATGGCATTGGTATACAAACTTTAGAGATCTTAATAATAGAATTCTTAAATGGTACTGGAAGCCTGCTTCAAATAGTAATTCAAATATACAACTTGATATTGAAAGTAGTGATTGAAAAATAATAAGTGTATTCGATCAAGAAAAAGGATTATTAGTTAAAAGTAACTATAATAGTATATTTGGTAATATTGATAATATCTTTGGGAAAAGTATGTGAAAGGAGTTGGAAACTTCAGAACAAAGTTTCAGAAATCTAGCTTGTATTATAGTGAAATACAGTATTTGATAACATGTATAAAAATAAAGTAATAAGCAATTAATCGATAAACAACTTGTATATATAATACACATAATTGATCAGAAATTATAAGATCAAGTAATAATCAATTATACAATCGAAGTAAGATAATTAGTATATATGAAATATGAGGTAATTTATTAGTAATATAAGAGTCAAACAATCGTATAATCATATATAAGCAAATTATAATATAGGAAATGTAATTGTAATAATAATAGAGTTAGTTAGTTTAGATAGTTTTTGCTCTTAAATAAAATAAATTAAACTCTTAATAAAGTAATAGTATATAAATTAAAAACACTTGTCTGATTAAGTTCAGTTTACTTAGTACCTAATTATTAGTGCTCTACTATCAGAGTTAGATTATTTTTTGACGAAAATTATTAATTAACTTGTGATACTAGAAAACAGAAGCTATTAAAGTTCAAAGTCTTAATTTTTAAAATCTTGTTATTTATTACAACTTGCAATATTGCAAGCTAGTCATATAGATAAACAATTGCTATCAATAGAACCCCGGACATCTCTGATATATGTTATATTTTTTTTTCAGCAAATTGTTAAAAATTTGGTCAAAGATTCAAAGTTGAGTTTTAGCGAATTAACATTAATAATAAAATAGGTTATAATTAACTATTTTGGTGAATTATATCAATTTTATATATTATATTTTATTTTTAGCGAATTATCTACATTTTGAAAAATTATACTCAAAAATAAGCTACTTTATTTTTTAAATTACTATTATTTTTCAAAATTCAAGAGAAGATGCTTAATTTTGAATTTTTTGATCAAAAATCCAAAATTATGCATCTTTTTTTAAATTTTCAAGAAATATAAGATAAATAGAAGTATTATAGCCAGGAGAAATATTGTGGCCAATTGCTATATCTCATGATCTGTCAATCAGAATTGGATAAATTTTATATCATTCGATTCATCACAGTAAGATAAATCGAATGGTATAAAATTTATCTGATTCCGACTACTGCATTATAAAATATTGTCATTTAAGCAAATTACAAAATTTCTTATTTAATACTTTTAATATTAGATAAATATAGTATGATAAAAACAGGTTTTTGTACTAAGTTAATCGACTTCGCATATTAAAAAAAGTTATTTAAATGATAAACTTTATATAATATTGTAATTCAAATAACTTATAATTAAATATATTTAAAAAAAATAAATGCATTATCATAGTAATACGTTCTTATACTTGTAGTGAAGCTACAATTCTTCTATCAAAAATTTTGTCCTCAAAAATTTTGCTCATAAGTATATACAGATGCAAATGGTTGTTGCTCAATTCCCTAAAAGATATTCCTCAACAGGTCACTTACCCAACATCACATAGAGTTAGGGTTAGCATTCTATTAGTTGCAGATATTTATTTTTAGCAATTTGTTACCCTGTGTGATGTTGAGTCGGGAAAATAGCTTTTGGGGAATCGTGCTGTAATCATACAAATATAGTAAATTAGTGTTAATAGATAATAAAAAATAAAATTAAATTATAAAATACTTACTACTATGTAAAAATTTTAATCAGCCATGTGTGAACAAATTTGACGCGATAACAACAAGTAAAAAAACAAGATTGAGATATTTAAAGCTAAATTATTTAACTTTAATATTATTAGCTTTTCTTTTTTGGAAACTTGTATCACAATACCATAATACTATTAACAAAAAAAAGTGATATGTTATAATCATGGTTTATTACAAGTTATATAGTTGCCAAGTTTAAAGTGCCGAAAGCCTAATTAAATATTATTTGCCATTTATTTTATATTACTTAACATGCAAATTTGTGTATTCGTGTTATTTTATTTCTTTAGTAAAGTTATATAAAATGCTAAAAGTTACTGATAATAATCATAAAGATAGTCAAAATCAAAAAATTCTCATAGCACTTAATAAATACAAAAATTATCTACCTAATTATAAACATCCTAGCGTAAGCAGTATAGCAGAAAGCTATGATATTTCTAGAACAACTCTTTGCTATACAATAAACAAGGATAGTCTTTCTAATCATTTTGGCCCATCTACCATTTTTACTAAACATAAAGAAAACCAACTTGTTGGTTATTGCATTAATATGCAAAACTTGGGTTTGGTTTAACCTGGTCTAGTATTAATCACTGTAATGAAAATAATAAAAAAAAACAAATGATCACATCTTTTTGGTAATAGCAGGCTAGGTTGGGATTGGTGAATCTGTTTTATAAAAGCTTATCTCAAGCTTTTATTTCGAGTTTCCCAAGAGTTGTCAGAAGCTTGGGCACAAAGAGCAAATACATTTATCATTAATAATCATTTTGAAAAGCTTAAACAAATAATTGATGAAAATTTACTTACCTCCATACAAATTTAGAACATGGACGAAACCGGGTTTGTTCTTGTATTTAAGTTTTTTTTTTTTTTTTTTTATACTGTGGCTTAGTCTTGCCATGACTATCTATTCCTACTAACTACCTCTCTACAGGGGGGCGACCTGAGTCAAGTATTTCTACTATTATGAGTTCATTCGGAATAGGCCTGACCCTACCCGGTTGCCTATTCAGGTACCTAGAACCGACCGCCTGCACCGTCCTCCGGAGAGGTCAGATCACCTTATTATTGAACTGGATTTTTATTAGCCAATCTGGTGCCGCTATGAGTTCTTGTAGTATCTTTATCAGACTTGGCCTCATAGTACGTCTCGTGACTTCAGTTATTCCAAATTGGGGTTCTAACATGTCTCTCTTCTTAGCCACAGCTTCTTGGGATAACTATTTCCTATTTACGTCTATTTATAGATGTCCCGGTTCCCTGCATACCGTGGTGTTTCACTTCCATATTTGAGTTTTCGTAATTCTGTTGCTGGAAGGAATTGAACTAGCAACCGTTCGATTTGCAACCTGAGAGCATAACTGCTATGCTATCGACCCACAGGTCATTGTATCCAAGTTAAAAAAAGTTATCGCAAAAAAGGTACATAGCAAGTTCACAAAATTTCTCATGAAAATTTACACAAACATATTTCTGTTGCCCCATGATTTCAGCTGCTGGGTCGTACATTCCACCTTTAATTATCTATAAAGATGTTTGTATAATTTCTGGGTTGTTAGATAGTGCATTTCCAGAAACTATAATGAGGTTTACAAGTACTGGTTATATATGCAAAAAACTTTTCCAAATGTATTTTACCCATTTTAAAAATTCAATCCCACCTACTTATATAGTTTTATTAATGTTCGATGATTACAAAAGCCATATTAGCTATTTGTGTATTGATTTTTGTTGCAAAAACAGAATTCTTCTTTATGCCCTTTCTCTCTATACAATGCATATTTTACAGCCTTTTGAAAACTCCTTTGCCAAATTAAAAAATGAATATTCAAAAAATATGATAAATATAAAAATAATGATGGCAAGGTAGTAACCAAACATACTTTTGCGAGCATTTTTGGCACAGCTTTCTTTAAAACCTATACACCAATAGCAATTTGTAACTCCTACAAAAGTACGGAATATGGCCATTTAATCCTAAGGCTATTAGTCCAGACCACTTGGACTTTTTATTGGCAACAAAGTGATTCGATATTGCATCTTTAGATAGTTAGCCACTTTTATTACCTTTAAATAGTCAACCTTCTATGCAGCTACATTTACAATCATCTACTCATTTATATCTTACTTGTTCAAATGCCACCCTATTAGAAAAAGAAACAAGATTCTTTTAAATGAGAATGATTTACTTAAAAATGAAAATGAAAATTTAAAATTTCAGTTTGCAGCAATAAAAGAAAAGTTAGAAACTTATAAGAATCTGGAAACATGATCTTTTCATTCTGCTTTCAAGTACCTGGTTTCTTAAGCTTCGCTTGCTGAAATCTAAAAAGCTTCTTCAAATCTACAAGAACCTAAGTCACCTTTTCTTAAAAAAAAAAAAGACTCTGCTATTTTCACAACTTCTTACTTCCAAAGATAGTTGGCAACAACTAAAAGTGGTGAACAAAGAGGCAGATCAAAAAATCACAGAAGCTAATCATAAAAAGGAATTGGCGATTCAAAAAAGAGAAGAATGAGTGCAAAAAAAACAAGAGAAAGAAGAACAACACAGGAAAAAGAAAGCAATATAACTGTAAAAAATAAGAGAGGTAGTAGAATTGTATTTTATAGATTAGACTACCTTACTAGTAGAATTTTACAGTTTTATAATAAGATCTTATTTTGTACTATTGTGATAATACTGTATCGTAATAATAAAAAAATAACTACTACTAAAGTATTTTGAAAATTCTATAAAAGTTACGTAAGTTTTGATCTGTAAAACATAATAAAAAAAAATTTTTTATTTATTTTTTACTATTTATTGTTTTACTTCGTTACTAGTTAAGATAATAATATATAGTACAAAAAAGTACAACTCTATGCGTAGCAAAGAGTCTTCTTTTTTGAAGGCATCTTTGGCCTTTGGCCTCGTGCAGGTTTAATAATAAAAATAATCAAGAAAATTGATACTATTATTTTAAAACATAAGTAATTTAAAAATAAAAAATACTTTTTGATACAAGAAAAAAAACCTATAAATAAGACTGCTCTATTTCAACAATTAGAATATTCCAAAAACTGGAATATTCCAATGATTGGAATATTCTATTATTTTATTAAATCAAATTTAAATTAAAAATGAATTTAAACCTTTATAAAATCGAAAATAATAGTTCTATTTCTTGTTTACAAGAAAATTGTTCTTATCAATTTTGTTCTCCAAAATACAAACAAAAAGCTGTTATGCAACATTATAAAAAATATTATAAT